AATTATGGACTATAGTGTCAAATGAAATGAACAGATTACTGATAACATTAAATTCGATCTGGTGTAATCTTATTTTTTTAAATTTTATATTTAATTTAGTTAAATTTTATTTTGGGGTGAAGGTCGAAGCATTCATAAAAAATTTCGGTGTGTGAGGCACATAAATTGAATCAACGTTTGAGTGTTTTTAGGTATTAAAATAAGAAAGCTTTTGGGTAAGAGTCTATACAGATACCTCATCTGTATTGATCTGTATCAGCGGTCACACGGTCTGTAAAGTTTAATTTTTTATCGTTATGGGTAACCAGTAAAGAAAGTCCTAAAGTCGGGCGGGCCCGATTTTATGATACCCTACCCACTTTTGCTAATTTTTATGGGAGAATTCAACCATACATGCTATGATTATTATTATAATTTAAAGTTCAAAGGACTAAATATGCAGAAGCATTTGTATCTGTTATTTTCGAACTTGTATTGCCCATTTGGTGCAAAATTAATTTGAAATCAGATAAAGATATATATGGGAGCTATATCCAAATCTGAACCGATCTCGATAAAATTTGGCAAAGATATTTCTGAGCTGTATTTCATATATTTCCCAAAATATTGTTGTTACAGATTGCATATTACGGCTGTGGGTAACAAATGCAACAAATCGGATGAACAATATATATGGGAGCTATAGCTATATCTGAACCGATCTTCACCAAATTTGACATACTAGCTTCTAGACTCAATTCGGTCGTATGTGCCTAATTTCATCCCATTTGGGCAAATATTAGACTTTTGGTGCACAATAAAAAGCAAATCGGATGAATATATATATGGGAGCTATATCTAAATTTTTACCGATTATCTCCAATTTCAATAGGGTTCGTCCTTGGGCCAAACAAATGTTGTTTGGAAAATTTCATCTGAATCGGATAATAAATGCCACCTGCATTTTGTTCACAAGAATACACGGACAGACGGACGGACTGACATGCATAAATCAACTCAGATTGGATATCCTCAAAAGTAACTGTGGGTCTCGCTTCCTTCTCCATGTTACAAACAAATGCACAAAGACATAATACTCTGACCACCTTGTGGTGTAGGGTATAAAAATGTGGGAGAACTTAAAAATGGGCTAATGCCCCATCAAAATGCATTTAAAGACTAGTAAAGTATTGTGTCGTTAACCTGCGAATGGCGATAAACTTTACAGATAAATCGAAAAAACTACCATTTAAATCAAGGTCGCGAATACGGTTTCCCAGAATCTCACAACAACTGACCTATTTTGATGTTTTTTTTTTTTTTTTTTGGTATTATCTGCAAATTATTATTGCATGGAATTACTATTGGATTACTGTCAAACACGAAACATTCATACAATACATATGGCTCTAGTGTAAATGCATAGATCTTTGTAAAGCGCTCTTAGAGGCAGTCGTACATTGGGTACAGACAAATGTGGGTGAAAGCTTAAAAATATCGGATAGGGCAAGTTGCCTTGCTCTCTGTGAAATGATTTCGTATATTTGATCCACCAAATACAGGGTTGCCCATTTTCGACGGACCCATCGATTGTTATGCGACTTGTGTGCGGTGGAGCGCCATCTTGTTGAAACCAGAACTGCCTCATACGCTTTCGACGAATAATTGGCATCACAAAATTGGTCATCATGTCGCGATAACGCTCCTGGTTGATGGTAACAGCATGGCCGTTGACCGTTTTCGCACTAACGCCGCACCAAACTGTGACTTTTTCGTCATGAAGAGGCACTTATTGAAACTCCTGAGGATTTTCAGTGGCATAAAAACGGCAATTTTGCTTATTTACGGTCCCATTCAATGTGAAATGGGCTCCATCGGACATGATAATTTTATTTTTTGAGTTTTCACAATTGACTTCTTCTGTTGAATGTAAATTTCAACTATTTCAGAGCGCTCGCGTGGCGTGTATTGGTTCATGGTAAAAATCTGCTTGGACTGACGCTTCAAACGCGGTATGTTATTAAGCGATGTGACATCTCTGTCAAAAGTTATGGCGTTGCTAGATGGGTCCGTCGAATATGGGCAACCCTGTACGCTATGTTTCTCCAATTTCACTGAAATATGGAAGGTGTGACGAAATTTAGTCTAAAAGTGAATTTTGTCAAATTATATTGAAATCGGTTGAGATTGGGATATGATTTTGTCCCACAACGGCTTTGCAGTGGTATTAGGCTAACAGTAAAAAACTACACAACAATTTAACTGAGAATACGATTATGGATTCAGCTAATTTTTAATAAAAATAAAACAAATTTAAGATTCTTAACAAGTAAAAAAGCAGTAGGTTCGGTCTGGCCAAACTATGAATACCCTCCACTATTCGGAAAAAATTAGGAAACTTCAAAAAAATAAAATCCATGAAAATTTCCGAATATAGGAAAGTGCCGATGTATGGGGGAGAGACGATATTGGGGATCGATATATCCCATCTTTGAACTTGATCTGCCTGCAGACAAGAGACAGATCTGTGCATAATTTTAGCTTCCTATCTTAATTCGTTTTAACTGTACCGTAATAACAACAGACGGACAGAGGACGGACAGAGTCTTAGAATTTTACGCTGATCAAGAATATATATACTTTGTTGGATCTAAAATTATTATTTCGATGAGTTATAAATGGAATGACTATTAAGTACGCCATACTATGTATGGTGAAGGGTATAAAAACGTATTTATTGTAAAGCTACCAACACATGCACATGTCACATATATATAGTAAAAAAAAAGTAGGAAGATCTTTTCACACATTTTTGCCCTATAAAATGCAACTAACGGTACGAACATGTTTTTCTATTTTGTAGATAAAGATTCAGCGGACTTTTATCCAGTCCCAAACATGTCAATATTATTGTGCAAATTTCATTGAAATTTGAAATGCATAGCGAGTGTGGTACGTCAAATCTGCTGAAAATATATGGGAGGTATGTTCAAACCTCAACCGATTTCGATATAATTTGACAGATTTCTTTTTAGACCCAATTCCATCACACATTCCAAAAATTCATTTGGGAAACTTGGGATGCTTTAAAAATGGTCTTGACTTTTAAATACAATCATCCCCTCAAATTCTCATAAAATCATTCTTAAGATATTGGAAAATCTTTAAAGTTCTCAAGCTATTTTGGCCTTAGCTGCCCAGATTTACCCTGCGATCAAAAAGTTAAACAATAATAAATCTTCTTAATTTTTTGCAGACAGAATTTGCATTAATTAGCAGGCTAAAATGCTTTATTCCAAGTAACTCTGTACGAAAGCAGGGCAACAATCACAGTGCATATATGTGGTATTTATGAGCAATAGTCCTATAAGGGATACCATAATGTGGACCCATAAACAAAACTTTTTTGCACAAATATCTATTGCCCATTCAGAATCCAAAACACCATATTATAATCAATTTTTTTTAAGAATGTAGCTTAAATCTTGATAATACTTTAAATCAAGGTGTATACAAGGTGAGATAAAAAAACCGCAACAAAGTTTAACGCCATAATTTTATACATTTTTTTACATTTTATTGAATGAATGCAAAAAATGTCGCAAATAGCATTCAATTTTAGAATAAGAATTGGTCACCTTTGGCACGAATTATGGCCTTTAAACGCCAATGAAACCGTCACACGCTGCCCGAATGTTCCTGTGTGGTATTTTGGCCCATTCCCGGCGAAGCGCTTGCTTGAGGTGATCGACTCTTTGGTATATTTTAGTGCCAAAATGGAGTGCTGGATATGATGCGAGGAATCTCATTTTGTAACCATTCTTGCGTGGCGCGTGCTGACTGCGATGGTGATGAGTCCTGTTGAAATGTCCAAGGTCTGCGGCCAAAATATTTGCGTCCACACGGATTTAATACAGCCTCCAGAATATTTCCGCGATAATATTCGGCCTTTATTCTGATGCCATGGTCGATTATTACGAGCGGAGAGCGACAATCGGCTGTTATGGCGGCCCACACCATCACCATTGCCAGCGCTTGAGCCAACCGAAGGAGCCGAATGCCGAATGGAATATTGCGATATTTTCAGCACACGAGCCATTTTTCGGCCATTGCAACGCGGGTTTCGATCAAGTCGCTTCTTTACTTTTCGAACCATTTCTGCTGATGTTGCTGTTTTCTCCTGTCCACTTCCTTGACGTCGGGGTACGCTACCAGTATCTCGGTAACGAGCGATGTTATGAGACACAAACGATTTTTTTACATTTAAATGATGGAGTGCTCTAACGATTGTGATTTTTTGACCAAATATAAAGAAATCGCCCTATCACGCTTGAATTCTATCACGAATAGCTTTTTTAAGCTGCTTTTGAGCAGTCACTGGAATAATTTTTCACGCTTTACAGCTTCACCTCAAAGTAACATAGGCTATACACGTTTTTGAAATTCCACTTGAAACTGAAGATATAGCATCAGAATCGGAGGTACCTCCGAAAAATTAGGTTTTTTATATGTACATGTCCTTTGATTTATTATAGATACAGTCTTCAAATTCGGAATGTGTAACCGAATTTGGTACAAAAATGAATTTGCCAAATTACATTGAAGTCGGTTCGGGTTTGGATATAGCTCCGAATTCACATATTTTATGCATCATAATGCATTTCGTTGACGAAGTAGCGTGCCCTTGCTAGTCGGCAATGATAGGAATAAACGGGTAGATCTGGTAAATATGCATTGTGATGTAAAGTATCACACAGTCGGCCCAACCCGACTTTTGGTCTGTCTTTACTAATACGTTTCCAATACTAAGCAACCTCAGAATAACCGGGTCGAAACGACTTGGGTTCTACTCGTCGAAGGACTCACCTCATTCCATCTGTGACAACAGAAATTAAATTAATGAGTTAATAAAACCAATTGTAAAACATATTTAACAGAACTATTTATTAAAAAATTTAAACAAATAACAACAGTAAAAACATAATTTTTCAGTCTTGAAAATTCAAATCAAAGAACTGTACTTAAAGACGGAACAATCGCAGGATGGATGCTGGCAAATAGCTATTTTCGGGGACAGAAACAGCAGATGGGGCACGAATAGGTGCTTGAGAGGCAAAATTCAAGCTGGACGCAAAACCACCATCAAAAGCTTTAGAAGTTCCACCTAAAGCATTGTATTGTTCTTGAATGGTATTCTGAGCATTGAGAGCATCCTCGGGTGTGCGGTATTTAACAAAGTGAACTTCGGGCCGATTGTTTCTGTTCTCATTAATGGAGTTCAGTTTGTTTGCCAATTCATGGAGGTCGGGCTGTTTGTTCAGGATATAGATGGCAGTTTGAGGAGTTTTTTGGCCCAACGATAATATGGCATCTTCAAGGTGTTTATTCGATGGTCCTTTGATGAAAACAACACGAGTGGGTTTCTTTACAGACTGTAACACACGATCGGCATTTTTATCCTTGAAATCATTTTCATCAACTGTATATGTTATGAATTGGTTAGCTGGAGCAGATTCGTCAGAGGCGAAAGAAGGTTCGCCGTTATCGATGCCTTCATTAGAGAATGATCTTTCCAAAGGTGAACCATCGGCATTGTTTGCAAAGGAATTACTCAAATCGTTATTCGAACCAACTGGGGCTCCACTCTTAGTAAATCCTCCTCCAAGTTGCCCTCCACTGACTCCACCGTCATTTCCAATTTGATAATTATATTGAGCTGAGGCAACTGCCACCAGAGATAAGACTATGAGGATAGCACGCATTTTTTTTCAGAATGGATGCCTCTAATGTTCTATATACCAACGACTCTTTAAGAATGATAAGATACAACAAAATGTTATCTATTTTATACCTCGATATCTTTCGGCTTATCTGATTCTAGTATACCTAAAGAAACTGCAAAACAATCAGAACTGTAACACTATAGACGTAAATCACAACCTACTAACCCATAATTTACCTGCTGATTATAAGCATATATCTTATGTTTATATTCAGATCGATGGATATTTATTCATTTATTAGTCGGAGTAGTTTCTGAGCTGTCTACTAGAGGCTACCGCACATGCGTAGAACCTCACATGGTCAAGTGGAGAGGCTCGTTTAGCTTAATTGGATTGCTTTATGTTTTTATAATTATATTAATGTTAGGCAATTTTCAATAACTATTCATATTTAAAAATATTCATCAAAGTTATCACGTGTGATGTGTTTTCAGAACTTTTATAAAAGACAAATTAAAAAAATTGTGGTAGTGAATTAAATGAATGATTAGTTTTTATAAATTTTGTAACAAAATTAATATTGGTCATTATCGAAAACACAAATACTTACTTAAGACCATAATTGAAAAATGTGTTTTGGTTGGATGTTTTTGGTTGGATCAAAATGCAAATAAAACTATGTACATACAGGATTCCTGATTCTCATTACCAAATAACAAATTTCCTTAAGAATTTTTGGCAATTATTACTACTTAAAATTAATTGTCTAACCCATATTTTTACAAACGAAACTTTTATTTTTTTTAATTTTTAATCGTCAAAGAGTAGGAAAAAGTATTTGCTTTTTTATACCCTCCACCATACTATGGAGGGTATATTAACTTTGTCATTCCGTTTGTAACTCCTCGAAATACTCATGTTAGACCCAACAAAGTATATATTCTTGATCAGCGTAAAATTCTAAGTCAGCGTAAATTCTGTCCGTCTGTCTTTCTGTTGTAATCACGCTAACTTTCGAATAAATTGAGATAGATGGCTAAAATTTTGCACACATGTTTATTTTTCCAGTAGGCAGGTTAAGTTTGTAAATGGGCCATATAGCCCCCATATAACGGTACCTCCCGATATTCGGTATTTTGATGATTTTAGCGACATTATTAACCGGAATTGTTTCAAAATTGGTATTTGATGTTCGTTATGGGAACTACAGTCTGTGACAGAAAATTGTCTTTTCGGGTCCAGGTCTTCGTATAGGCCCCATATATCAGTACCTCCCTATATTCGGTATTTTGACGATTTTAGGTACAATACCCACCGAAATTCTTTGAGATGTGGTATTTGAAGTTCGTAATGGATGATACAGCCTGTGACAGAAAATTGTCTATGCTGGTCCAGGTCTTCGCACAGCTCCAATTTAACGGCACCTCCTTATATACGATATTTTGATGATTTTAGCTACATTATTCACCGTTTATGTCAAGTTTCGAATTTGAATATGGTAATGGCTTATGACAAACAATATCTATGTATGTCCACGTCGTAAAGATCCCAATATAACGGCTATATTCGGTATTTTTAAAATTTTAACAGAATTTTTTAAGGATAATTTGGTAACATGTTGAAGTAAAAAGCCATGATTGTGTCACGAATACCCAGGCTACAGGCGGTATCCGATGTCATCCGGCCACAGCAAGACTACAAGAATATTGGACGATAACAACACCAACCAACCGACCCAGCATCCGTTAGTCGCATAATGGACAATTTAGGTTTCGGTTGTAAGCCTTTCACCGAATCGAATAATTTTTATTGATTTTGCTATGGGTTGCTTCAGAGGTCTTAGCAAAAGGTAGCTCCTGATTTTCATCATTTTATTTTTTTCGATTTACAAAAACGTTAGCTGGGAAAACCTTTTCCAAGTCTGGCTCTCATAAAGTTGAGTAGCCTGTAACTAGTTTACAGAGGAGCTCCGATTCGCTTTTCTGCAGGACCTTCGGTTCACTATTCCGTAGCATAGCTCAATTGTTGGTAGTGGAGTAGATGTATTCATAAACCATAATGCTTGAAAAATTTCCTAGCTATTGTACACGACCCAAATGGCTAAACTCGAACATACACACAGTGAGCTGTCGAATCCGAACGAGCCCCTGTCTATCTGCGAAGGCTTAGATATCGGCTGCAGAAGATATCCATAGTAAGCTGCCGAACCCGAATTACAGCCCTTCTACGAAGACTGCCCCGAGCATATCCAGTGTGAGATAACAAACCCGCTCGATTTCCAATCCATCAAATCTAGACAGCTGCTCCCGAGTATCTCTTAAGTGAATTGCTAACGCTTATACCACGAGTTTACTCCGCAGACCTGAACATCAACATCCCAACCACCTATATCGTAAGTCCCGATTATACGCCACTTGTCAGCCCGATGATCATTCACTAACGTTCACGATTACCTTCAAAACGTCAACATTCCGAACGCCGACGTTACTAAGTGCACCAATCTCATTATCTTAGACTGCATTCAATCCGACGACAATAAGTTGCCGATTAACATCAAATCGTCAACACTCCGAATGCCGACGTCACTTCGAACACAAACATGGTAATTCCTGAATGCATTCAAGCCGTCGACATCCAACGACCATAAGCTGCCGATTTACACATTTTGTGAATAAATATAAAATAAAATATTATTTTTAACTTCTATATACAGGGTGAGTTGAAAAACCTGCAACCAATTTCAGACTGCTGTTATTTCTAAGCCACTCGTCGGACAGCTGTTAAATTTATTCCAGTGCGATTATATTGTTTACAAACGTACAAAAGCATTTTGGTGAGAATTTTCCCAAAAAAAGTTATTCATAATGGATAGTGTGATTTATTTATATTTGGCTGGAAAACCATAAGTGGCATTTCAGCATTTAAATGTGAATAAAACTTTTGTGTCTCGTACCATCCCTCGTTACCGTGATACTGGTAGCGTAGGCCGACGTCAAGGAAGTGGACGGAGGAAAACAGCAACATCAACAGAAATGGTTCGAAAAGTAAAGAAGCGACTTGATAGAAACCCGCGTCGCAGTGGCCGAAAAATGACTCGTGAACTGAAAATATCGCAATATTCCATTCGGTAAATATTGAAAATGATCATTCGTTGTCAAGCAGTTTGTAAACAAACAAAATATTATATTATCGCGAAAATATTCTGAAGGTTGTAGTAAAGCCTTGGGCATGCAAACATTTTGGCTGCAGACCTTGGACATTCCAACAGAACTCAACACCATCACTTTCAGCACGCGCCACCAAAAAATGGTTATAAAATGAGGTTCCTCGTTCCGTTGGACTATTGTATCTAGAGTATTTTGGTAAGTAAGGTTGACACTAAAAAATACCAAAGTGTCGATCACCTAAAGCAAGCGCTTCGCCAGGAATGGGCCAAAATACCGCAGAGCGTGTGACGGTTTCATTGACCGTTTGAAGGCCATAATTCGTGCCAATGGTGACCAATTCGAACAAATCTGAACTTATTCTAAAATTTGATGCTATTTCCGACATTTTTGCTTTAATTTAATAAAATAAAACAAGTAAAAAAGCTGTAAGTTCGGCCAGGCCGAACTTTGAATACCCTCCACCATTTGGTACGAATTCAACAATTTTCAAAAAAATAAATAAATAAATAAAAGGATTTTAAAATTCTGTTAAAATCGTGTAGCCGTATATTAGAGTCTATATGGCGACATGGACCTGCATAGGCAACTTTTGTCACAAGGCAACTTATATCACAATATTCAAATGTGAAACTTGAAAAAAATCTGTTTATAATGTAGCTAAAATCGTCGAATATAAGGAGGTACCATGGTGGTTATAAAACGTGGATCTGCACACAAAATTTTTTGTCATAGGCTGTTATATCGAACTTCACGAACTTCAAATGCGAAATTTGAAACAATTCCGATAAATAATGTCGCTAGAATCATCAAAATACCGAATATCGGGGTGTACCGTTATATGGGGGCTATACGAAGACGTGGACCTGCACAGACAATGTTCTGTCATAGGCTGTAGTATTCATTACGAACTTCATATGCGAAATTTGAAACAATTCCGGTAAATAGGTTCGCTAAAATCATGAAAATACCGAAGATCGGTGGTACCGTTATATGGGGGCTATACGAAGGCGTAGTCCTGCACAGACAATTATATGGGGGCTATACGAAGACGTGGACCTGCACAGACAATTTTCTGTCATAGGCTGTAGTATTCATTACGAACTTCAAATGCAAAATTTGAAACAATTCCGGTAAATAGGTTCGCTAAAATCATGAAAATACCGAAGATCGGTGGTACCGTAATATGGGGGCTATACGAAGGCGTAGTCCTGCACAGACAATTTTCTGTGATAGGCTGTAGCATCCATTACGAACTTCAAATACTAAATTTGAAATAGTTCCGGTAAATAATGTCGCTAAAATCATCAAAATACTGAATATTGGGGGGTACCGTTATATGGGGGCTATACGAAGACGTAGACCTACATGGCTTATTTTCTGTCTTAGGATGTAGTATCCATTACGAACTTCAAATACCAAAATTGAAAGAATTCCGGTAAATAATGTGGCTAAAATGATCAAAATACCGAATATCGGGGGGTACCGTTACATGGGGGCTATACGAAGACGTGGACCTACATTGCCCATTTTCTGTTTTATGCTGTAGTATCTATTAAAAACTTTAAATACCAAATTTGAAACAATTCCGGTAAATAATGTAGCTAAAATCATCAAAATACCGAATATCGGGAGGTACAGTTATATGGGAGCTATCCGAAGACGTGGACCTATATGGCCCATTTTCAATACCAAAAGTCCTGCAGACATAGTACACATTTGAGTAAAATTTTATCAACCTACTTAATTTCGTTCGGAAGCTAGAGTGATTTCCACAGACGGACAGACGGGTAGACGGACAGACGGACGGACATTGATAAATCGACATAGAATTTTATGCTGATCAAGAATATATATACTTTGTGGGGTCTAAAATGTATATTTCGAGGTGTTATAAACGGAATGACAAACTTAATATACCCTCCATACTATGGTGGAGGGTATAAAAATGTAAAAATTAAGGCGTTTGACTTTCCAATCGTTAAACAATTAGGAATGTGCAAAGTTTGAAGAAAATCACTGATTGGTTCTGTGGGAGTGTTGCCAGAAAAAGTTGAGAGAAAAATTTGAATACACAACATTTGATAAAAATCGACTTGTTTTGAATGTTATGAGAGTTAAATGTTGACCCGTTGTGGAGGAGGTACTAGAAGGATTTAATGGCTATATCCTATCTTCACACCATATCTTGTGTTGTCAAAGAATATTTGATTTATTTTACTTTTTATAACTTATGGTTATTCGAAAATTCTGACCTGTTGTAGTGGAGGTACCAAAAAGAGTGCACCAATATTACCCATCTCCGTACTCAATCTAAGTACGATGTACCAAGATTATACCATATTAGATACTCCTTTTTAGAGCTATCCTGCGCACCAGCCAGGATAGAGAGCTTTGCTCAACACTTCCATCATGGAGATTAAAAGCACTAATGACGTAAATCATTTCAAAACATTCAAATTTATATAAGATCTCTTCTAATTAAGATCGCCCAAAATGTTTTATTTCGCATAAAATTGTTAAAAGCATACATTTGAGAACTTTCGTTATTTCATTAGCAACAAGTTAAATTCTAAACTGGCTTAATATGCATCTCAGACTTATTAGATAGGCATCACGCCTTGTATTTTAATTTAGGCAAAAGCTCTTTTGAATTTGCAAGACAGACACGGAAACCTCATATCGAAAACAACAACTTGAACATTTATTGATATCTATTTGATTGCAGTTGAGATTGAACGTTTAGATTTATGTTTAGAAAGTCAAAATATTCCACGATTCTAGAGAAAACAAGTTATACGAGTAGTAAGCATTTTAAACAAATTAAATTCACATTTGCGAGAAATGAGTTGCATTTGCACCCGTTTTTCAAAAGATTTATGCATGGCAAAAGAATAATTATTTATGTTTTTAATTTTCAAAATTTTTTTTGTTTTAATTTTCCATTGTATAAAAATGGTTCGTTGTGCAGTTAGAATTCAGTCCACTTTTCAGTATCTCTTCAGTAGTATCTGAAAACATAACGAATACATCCTGCTAAACATGCGCGCCTTCATTGTCTTGTGTTTAGTGGCTACGGCTTGTGCCCAATATAATTATCAAGTTGGAGGAGGTTCTGGAGTCAGCAGTGGATCATTCAATGCTGGTGCTGCTTCTGGCTCGGGTTCCTTTGATGCCTTGAATCTTGGAGGAGGCGTCTCAGGTGGTGTTGGTGCTGGTAGTAGCTTCGGTGTTGGTTCCAGTGGCAGCCTTGGAGGAAGCGTGTCAAGTGGTGTTGTTGGTGGTAGTAGCTTTGGCGTTTCAGGCAGTAGCGGTCCAGCTTTGGAAGCTACTTCATCATACGGTGTATCCGGTTCAGGTTCCTCATTTACTGCCTCGTCGTCTGCCAGTCCAGCATTCACTGGCAGCTCACAAGGTTCCTTCGTTGGTGCATCTAACGTTGCTCCCGCCCAAGCTGAATTAGAGAAGGAGTTCTATACTTTCACCGCCAACGAAGAAGATTTCACTGAACCTGCCGCTTCCAACCAAATCAACAGTGTTACCAAACAAGGACTCCGTGTTATTTTCATCAAGGGTCCCGAAAACACAGGTCTGGAAAATGCTGCCTTGAGTTTGGCCAAGTCCGCTGCTGAACAACAAACCGCCATCTACGTTCTCAGCAAACAAGCCGATCTCTCTGCTTTGGCCAACAAATTGAATACCGCCAACGAAAATGTTAGCCACAAACCTGAAGTTCATTTTGTCAAATACCGTACCCCTGAAGACGCTGCCAATGCCCAAAGAGCCATTCAAGCTGAATATGATGCCTTGGGTGGTAAATCGGAACACATCAATGGTGGTGTTGCTTCATCCTTGAACTTTGCTTCTGCTGCTCCCGCTGCTACAGCTGTTCAACAAGGTGCATCATTCCAAGCCGGTACAGCTGGTCAACAAGGTGGTTCATTCCAAGTTGGTACCGTCGGACAACAAGGTGGTTCATTCCAAGTAGGTACAGTTGGACAACAAGGTGGTTCATTCCAAGCCGCTGCCGGTGGTCAACAAAGTGGTGCATTCCAAGCCGCTACTAGTTCTACCTACTTGCCTGCCTCCGTTATCCGCCGTTTCCGTTCGTAAATTGTTGTGTGATTTTTAGAGCCTGATGAGGCAAAGCTGATACAATTTTTTTTTATGTTTGTAAATTTTTCTTACAAAATGTATTTACATTTTAAATAAAAAGTTATTTCGAAAGTTATTTAAAGATTTGATATGATTTCTAATTTGGTATGTATAGTTGTCGGAAAAATCTTAATAATCGTCTGGGAGTCCATAAAGGAGACTACTTTTGTATTTGAACGGGACTTTTTCCAAAATTTATAATGGAACACATTCAAAAATTCCATAAACCAACCAAGTTTATAAACTTCAAAGTCGCCTCTGAAAATTCTATAAAGCAATCACGCCCGTCTGGGGGCGCTCCAAAAGTTTCATTGAGGAACCATTAGTCCCTCCCTCTTACCTTTTCTTTTTAGAACTTTTTATAAAAGGAACTATAAGACTATTTCGTTTCCTTCTGCGTAAGTGCTGAGATCTATTATTCGAGCGGGATATGTATTTTTGGTTACAATGAATTTGCAATACCAATGATTTAAAAAACTCCTTTAAACATATAATATACTAACAAGTAAGCAAAGGCTACAGTCGAGCGGGGCCGACTGTTGAATACCCTACAACACTATAATAAATGATACAGTATATATATATAGGCCATATACTCGAAAGAATTCCACAAGATATTGTGACAAATAATTAAAGAAAACCATCAGGTTTCGTTCTCTAATTTTCGAATAATAGCAACTTAAACGAATTTGCTCATTTCCAATTTATTGGTAGATGTTGCACGTAAATGGTCTTCCTAGATCTGGAACCAATATCTCCCAAAGACCTATAATCTCTCAAAAGTGGCAAAAGATTAACATTTATTATTGGTTTTTGACTTAAACGCATCTATGTGAGATACAGACATTTGACTATATTCTTCAACGAAATCAGCCTTAACGAAATAGTCAGAAGTGCGTCTTTCCTGTATTTGTGAATTCTCCAAAAAGACACTGGAATGGTCATTTTCGTATTTTGTCTACAAAAGTTGGCAAACTATTTCACACATTGAATATTTTTGGATGGCCATCCAAAACTATTTGGCTTTTGCAATGTCCGGTATCCTCCATTTAAATGCGCGTGAGGATCGGGCGATAATTACGACTTGCTGACAATTTTGCATTTTTTTGTCCATTTCAACCCCTAAATATATGGCGATTATCTCCAAAAAGAGTAGGCTTCTATTCTGACCCTCATCTTATACCCATGCAAAATTTCGTATGGATCGGGCCATAAATGCGATCTGTATATGATATCCTGATATCCTAACTTCTTAGTTTTGTTAGCTGTAGAAATATCACCAAATGTATAATTCAAAATGAAAATATGCCAAAAATATGACAAAATTGAAAAAATATGAGAAAATATTACAAAATCAATATTTTCATCTTTAGAAAGATATTTTTATGCGATTTTTTAGGCGTTTTTTCTTTCCTGCGAAGAGGCCATTCTGAATTAATGAGAACTGTCGAAATCAGTTCAGCCGTTCTCGACATATAAGAGATCTTTCAAGCATATCTTCTTTGATAGACACATATATCGCACATATTTTGCTATATATCCGATTTGATGGATGTTAACATCAATGTAAAGAACAGAGGTAACCTTGTCATGGCTTTTGATTTCGCCGGGATTTAAAATATTCGCGGTTTAATGAAAAATTTTGATTTTTTTCAACACAAAAGATATGGTCTATTTTACCCGCTGAATACTATCCGATGACCACCCAAATTGGAAGGCTTCTTACCCGCCCTAAACTATAGCTACATGCGCAATTCCGCGTCGATTGGTCTATAATTGCGACCTGTAGAGCAACTGCAAAATCAGGAATTTTTTCAGCTTTTGGTCCATTTCAACCCCTAAATATTATGCGATCATCTCCAAAAGGGTTCTATTCTGACCTAGGGTTCTATTCTGACCTTAACCCCACCTACATTCTAAATTTCGTGAAGATCGGGCCATAATTGCGACCTGTAGAGTGATTACAAATTAACATGGACAGACGGACAGACGGACGGAGGGACATACATAGCTAGATCGACTCAGCTCGGCGAGCTAGGAAGATCCATATATACTTTCCTATATGGGAAACCAATATTTCGAGGTGTTACATAAATTCTGGCCCAATCAAACTTATAATACCCCCAACACATAGTGTTGTAGGGTATAAATATCGGGTAATACTATTATATGCAGGCCATAAGAAAACGTGGTGGTACCCATTACGGATTATTTTTAATACCATAAATGCTTCGTACCCAAAATAAATCTCAGCAAAATTTCATTTAGATCTTTCATTTTGTTCGGAAGCTAAAGTAACTTCCACAGAAGGACGGACATGGGTAAATCGACATAGAATCTCACGATACTGCGTCAGCTAAAAGTCAACCTTAAAATTTCAGATTCGTTCTAGGCCTTTAAAATACTCAAAATTCACAATTTTTTCAGCTGGACAACATTTCTTAATCAAAACTTCACTTTGAAAAAAAATGCAAGTATAGAGGTCTACCTGTTTGGCTTGTAATGTCAGAATTAGTATCAAACAATAAAAAATCAAACAACTTGTTGCATTTATTTTGAATAAATAATTGAAAATCATGTACTATATATCTCTAAAGGATTATTTCGCTACAAAAACTCTAGATTTTGTCAATGCATACGTTGAAATAAACATTTTGAAAACACCCGAATTTGAATGTTTTCTGAACAATTTTTTTGTTATTGAAAAGAAAACACATACATAAACCAAGAAAATAAAAAAATTAAAATCATATGGTATCATAGCCCTACCTTGATATCATTGTACCACGTGTAAACCCTATATACCAACCTAAATCGGAATATCAAAATTGCTAAAATTCCATATCAACGTTTCGTTGATATGGGCTATACGAAAAAGGGGACCTTTACAGCCACTTTACCTTCAAACACTATGTTTAAGATGATTCTGTTAAAAAATGTTTCTAAAATTTTTGCTTACCGTTATATGGGGGCTAAACGAAGACGTGAATATGTAAGGGAAAATTTGTGTCACAAAAAGCAGTGACCACCGCGAACTAAATCCTGTACAGGTTATTTTCTGCCATAGCAAGCAATACCCATTACGAACTCTTAATGCAAAATTTGAATCAATTCCGGTGAAAACTGTGTTATAAAATACTAAATATCTGGTGGTACAGTTATATGGGTACCAAAACTTGACCTCTGTACACCACTGTGCAAATATAACTAGTTGCAAAATGCTTTCTTGTAAAATTATAACTCATCGTATTTCCGAATATTGGACGCGCACACGCTGTTCCGACGATACACATTTTGTGTAATAATGAAAATCAGTCCTTGTGGCGTAGGGTATGTCTCACGGTGATACAGGGGATTATATGTTTGTACATTAGTTTATAACATGAAAGAAGATAATGAAATAGAGTCCATTTGATGATATTCATACAATCACATTCTAACTCGATACATATATGTCCGTCCGTCTGTCCATGTATTTTCGTATCCTGCACCTTGAAAAGGGTATATTAGCCTTGTCATTCCATTTGCAACATCCCTAAATATAGAGCCCTATATATATATATATATATATGTATATATATATATATATATATATATATATATATATATATATATATATATATATATATATATATATATATATATATATATATATATATATGTCTGTTCAAATTATTTTACAGCCCACATTATTTGACGTAGAGGTTCAAAATGAGGTATATCCGTCCACGTTTTCGTATAGCCCCCATACAACGATACCTCTCCATAAACGGTATTTTTATAATCCTGTTCACATTTACCCATGAAAGACGTGCAATATATAACAATCCTTGTATATTATATTGTCTATATAGATTCCCGTTTTAATACCATATAACGGCTTCACCCACTTTATGGTTTTTTGAAAGGTTTAAGTACAGATATTTTTACATAAAATTGTTTTCTTTAGCCAATTTAAATTTAATGTTTTTTTTTTACTTTTTTAAACAAAGTACAAGTCGCATATATTGTCCGATTGAGATGATCACAATTGAATTAGTAAAAATTAGTCAAAATTTAGATATATCATCGTCCGATTTAAATTTTATTGTGCGCCATATGCGCTATATTCATCCAAATTTCGGCATATGTGACTGATTTCTGCCTAGAAATATTCTGCCCTAAAATATAGTTCAAATATAGCTTCCAAACATATCTTTCATCCGATTTGGCATTTAACTTCTTTAAATTCGAAATATACACTCCACAACAATGATATAATAAAGATCGGTTCAGATTTGGATATAGCTCTTGTACATATGTGTATCAGATTTCAGGTTTATTGCGCACCAATTGGTTAACATCAGCACAAATTGAGTGAATTTTCGGCACATCCGACTGAATTCAGCCTTGAAGGAAGTTTCTCAAATTTGATGCAAAATGGTTCAGGTATAGCTATAGCTCCCATGCACATGTTTCATCCGTTTTGGGGTTTTAAGTCTCTCACATGTACCATATATCAGATACATCTTACAAATAAGTGCCTAAAATGTTGTCAAGATTGGTTCAGATTTGGATATACAGGGTGAGATAAAAAAACTGCAACCAAATTCAGACTGCTGCCATTTCTAAGCCACTCGACCGACAGCTGTGACAGTTAATTATATTCTTTACAAGCGTATAAAAGCATTTTGGTGCGAATTGTCCAGAAAAATAGTTATTGGTGATGGAAATCAAGCGTGATAGTGCGATTTCTTTATATTTGCCTGGAAAACCAGAAGTGGCTATCGGTAGAGCACTACAGCATATAAATGTGAATAAATCGTTTGTGTCTTGTACCATCGCTCGTTACCGTGATACTGGTAGCGTAGGCCGACGTCAAGGAAGTGGACGAAAGAAAACAGCAACATCAGCAGAAATGGTTAGAAAAGTAAAAAAGCGACTTGATCATAGTGTCGAAACTCGCGTTGCAGTGGCCGAAAATGGATCGTGAGCTGAACATATGAAATATTCCATTCGGAAAATATTGAAAAATG